GATGCACAAGCGGACATCGGTACCGTTCTTCTTCATCACGAGGACGATGGCCGATGCCCATTCCGAGTCGGAATACGCGATCGAACCGGTTTCCAGGAGACGCTTGAGCAACTCGTAGTAAGTCGGCAGGAATCCTCCGGGACCGCATAGAAATGGGTTTCGCGTCCCCAACCTCCAGGTCGCACACGACGCCCCGGGCCGGGGGAGGAAGCGCATTCCCTTCTCCTAAGAAAATCATTCGGTGCTTCCGGAGGACGGCCCGGAGCCTCTCCTCCTCTTCGGGGTCCGACTCCCCGGGCTCACCGACGAACGCATCTTCGATGTTGGCCTCGGGCCGGAGAACGCTGAGGTCGGGGAGATACACCAGCTGGTTCTTGAGCATGTCTAGGAGCACGAAGTCGGAACCTTGGTGATAAACGCCGCGTCAAGGCTGTCCCCAGCCATCGCCACCATGACGAACCCAATGCGGCTTGGGCGGCCATGGGTGGGCCTCGGGGGACTCCGGGACGGGTTCCCGAGAGGCCGTGATCGCTGGAGCGGGCTGACCCCTTGAGGAAGCCTGGGCGTCGTGGTCCGAGGGTTCGCTCCTCGAGACCTGGGGCTCGGGGTCAACTAGTCCTGGGGGTGTACCCGAGACGACCATGACGTGATCGGCACCGGGCGCAGGAGCGAGAGCAGGCGGGGGGTCGTCGGGTCTGGAACCGTTTCCACACTGGGGGACCGGGACCCGATTCCTCGACCGGCCACCCCCCCCGATGATTCCGGAGACCGCGAGACTGGGTGTGCCTCAGGGACTAGAGGCACGACGACCCGGGTCTCCGAGGTCCGCCTGAGGACGCGAGTTGGGGTTGAGTACGTCGGGCGGTCCACCATGGGCAGTGCATTCCGCTCGAGTTCCCGGACTTCTGCGTCCAGGCGGCGTTCCGCCGCGGGGGACCGGGTGTTCTCGTAGACCAAGAATTCCCGTTCGTCGTACTGGTAAGACCCAGGGCGCTCAAAGTTGTTCCCCAAAAGCAAACGATCCCGGTCTGTCAGGGTAGCAACCTTGGTATGCGGAAGTACTTGGACCGGCCTCCGGGAGATGTTTACCACCCGAGCGGCGACCGGGACTCGCTTCGTGCTAAAAACCACTAGTGTCACCCAACGGTCCCCCCGACCGACCCATACGTCCATGGACTCAGATTACGAGGTCCGGATCGGGATGCACTATCTGTCCCCGGGTGCTATCCAAAGACTTTCGTGTATGGACACATCAATGGTCCGCCCCAAGTGCGAACGCTTGGGGCCCCCGACAAGAAGTATCCTCTCTTCGTCAGGGAGCACCACTTTCCCTTCGTGAGCGCACAACCGGACTCCAGCGGCGACCATGACATCCATCCCCAGGAGGACGTCGATACCTTGACCGATGTTCCCGACCCAAACATCTAAGGTGTAAACTACTCGATGCCCGAGTGTTATCTTGACTCGGCACTTGTTCGTGACTTTGGTCTTCACTCCATCGAT